GCACGCTAAAGCTCGCGTGTACTTAGCGTGATATGAAGTGATGCTAACCAAATCATTTGTATCTCTTTTTATTCAGTTATTTGTTGTTGTTGTTGTCAATAAGTGCCGGTTAATATTCTCTATTTTGTTTTAGTTTGAGGTTTTTTAGACAATGAATTCCAATTTTTAGGATGTCTGTTAAGTGGACTGATTGACGTTATAGAAGGATCGTCCCATTCTTAGAGGAAATTCAAGTTTACATAATACTACTATTTTAGAGATTCATCAAAAGCCAGTTACTATTATTGTCTGTCCTTGTTAGCTATCAGTACTAGGGTTATGAGGCCTATAACGAAATGTGTTCGCTTCGGAACTCATACATTCGCGTTTCAAGTTTCTCTGATTAGTCTGGTCGGGTCGGGAAGAGGTCGAAACTATGGTCCAGTCTTGGATGTATGATATAATTAAATTCAACGGTCAATTCAGGTCTTATCCTCATCTTTTTGCAGTGCCCTTCACACCATTTTGCATAGTTGCCAACTGCAACTATTGTTGACATCAGCGCTCTTCTTTGTCCTTGGTCTTGTTCGTCTAGCCTCAAAATCATGCAATTTTTCGTCATTATTCAGTTCTTTGTTTGACATACTGCTTGCTAACACTAACTCAACAGTCTGACCTCCAACAGCCTACAGTTCGCCGGCCTAGCCTTATCGGCTCTGAGGATCTGACTCGATCCAGTCACACCTGCGTCAGTCCGCTTGGCGACCCGGAACCGAGAGGTCTTGTAGACAGTCTGGAGGCCATGGTGGCCAGCCAACCGTCGGCTCTGTCCCCTTTCAACCAGTTTCATCATCCCTCAGACTCGGCGAGTGAGGCAAACCAGATGAAGGGGCGCCTGCAAATACAACCACATGCATTGCTTCTGCTTCACCACTACCATCATTATCCGCATCAGCAACAAATACGGCAACACCAACAGCCAAATGAAATGTATCGGCTGTTGCCAGCCTCCCTTCCAGCCGTCTTCCGACCCGAGTACGGAGCTTCCTTTGGCGCGTCTGGACTCTGCATGGACTCGACATCGATGCCCCCGCGAAGTCAAGGTCTGTCGGCTGTCGATTTGGCCCGATTGCCTCGCACCACTTCATGTTCTCCGCCACATGCCTCCTCTGCCCCACCATCGCGGCCCCCTCCTCCACCTCCTCCATCTCGTCCACCCCCTCCACCCCCCCCGCTTCCACCCGCGTCTCATCTCCTCAAGCTGCAACCTCCTTCGCTCGCCATCTCTTCTTCTCCTCATGCTGGCAGAGCTGGCATTATCGGTTGTTTTACAGACTCGAAACATCAGCCGCATCTTTTGCCTGATAGCCTCTTTTGTCTGTCGACCCAGCAACCGGTGCCCTACTGGTCTTGGCAGTCGGCAGCATTGCACTCGTCTCCACCGTCCTTAGCGCAGACGGCGCGTTGGCCACCGTCTATTCGGTCAGATGAATCCGGACCCTCTGAGGTCAGTCTGAGCAGGAAGATTAGGTTTACAGTCAACGCGATCCCCTCAAGAGGCCATCAAACATTTCCACGTTTCATATGCCCAGACGCCAGTTTGCTTTTATTCAACGATATTTGTAGGCAGTCTAATTGCACCACTTTTCCTGTGGCATTTCATGAGGTGAGATAGTTGCTAGCCTCGATTAACTGGAGGTGAGACTTGATTTCACGTTAAAGTGCACCGCCGAATGCAAATTCGTGGGTTTGTGGATTTGAGAACAGCCTTTCGGGCCGATTAGAATACTATATTTATACCTAAACTTAATTAGATGGTAGGTTTTAGCGATTTAGTCGTGTTGCCAGGGCGACCAAGATAAATTCTGTCTGAAGTCCTCTTCCATAGAAGTCATGATCATTTTCAGCGTTAGACCGTTGGCCTTCTCCTAAGTCCCTTTAAGAAAAATAATAAATTAATAAAAAAGATTAATGATAATAATGGATCAGTAAAATAATAAAATACTGTGTAAACTAGATATTGTGATGGTGAAGGGGTTGATACAAGGATATGGGAGATGTGAATGTACTAAGACAAGGTGAGAGAACGCAAATATTCAACAGAAATTAGATCTCTTCGACGAGTTGTATTTCTCTGCAAAGACTGGCATGGCTCACTGACGACGCTGACTAAGATGCTTGCGAAATGTCTTAGAATGTACCAGCTTTACGATCCGATGCTGGAAATTATCATGGATACTATGTTTGAGGGTTCCGCCTGAGTCTGACAACATTAACAAGTTGCAAAAAATTGGGTGACATCACTTCTCTCCAACTGAAGAAGACCGCAACCGTAGTAGACGCAACACCATCTTGGTCTTTATATTCTTGATTGGGCTATAATTAATTAAGGATGGATATGAATGTTTCTTGATGAAAGCCTATTCC